TCATAGTACTAAAAGTATTAAATAAATATTAGAGTTAGGTTGTATAAAAGATATAAATAGAATTAACGATTTTTTGTACTAAGTTTAGAGAAATGTAGAAGCTTTATATTAAATATTTCCCCCCGACTTCATTTATTAGTAGGAACTATATATTTAAAACTATTTTTAGTATTATTATTCTTTATAGTATTTATTCTAATAATCTTTCACTATTATATATATTCGGTTTAACTAATTTATTTAATAAATTCTATTCTATAACGGCCTATTCGGGTTTTCGCTTTAATTCTTACTTATTACCTACTCTCCTCGCTATAGTTACCTTCCTAATATTTAGGAGTAGGAAGATTCTCTATTAGGACGTAAACATTTTTATTAAGATATATATTACATAGATAAGAATAAGGAGATAGATAATGAGGAGTTTAATAAGCGTTCAGCTTATTATAATTATAGTTATTAAAGGATTATTATTAAGTTATTAAATTGGGTACTCTATTTAGAGGGTTGTACGCTTTGCGTATTTAGTAGTTAATTTAGATATAGATTATTAAATAAAGGCTCTAATAGATAATAGGATCTTTTATATATATAGTTAGATTTAAAGATATTACGTAGATAGTAAACACTCTTCTTCTTTTATTAAGGAGGAGATATTATAGGGTATTCTTAGTAGGTATTTAGAGGCTCTGTCTTATTATAGTAATTGCTTATTAGAGTGTATAGTTTATTATATAAGAGTATTCGTCCCGTTAACCTCTATTAGAGTTAACAGATTATTAATTAATATTATACTAACTTAATATTTATTTTACTTATATTTAGTAAAGTCGTATACGAGGTCCTAGGTTGAGGCTTGCGATAGCTCTTGTCTTTAGCTTCCTTTAATAAGACTGTTATTAATTGTTACATATTATTATTCTATTTAGCAATTAGTTACTTACTTTATTATTCTCTATTGTTATTACTTGTAAAGTACATCTTCGCGTAATATATAATTAATATTTAAACTTTAACTATAGCGCTTTGCCCTTTCAAGCTATACGTAGTAGTATAGCTTCCTATATTTCCTACTAATTTTGTATTATACTAGTTGGGATTTTAAAGTAATAGCCAACTTCATATACGTATATATTTTAATATCCCTCTTCAATAATATAGTCTTTATTATAATTATAAGCGCTAATACAATAGTAAGTACAACGGCAGCGGCGCGGATCATCTTTAATAATAATAAGCACTTTAGTTTATATAAAGTATATTAATATTTGCTTAAATTGTTAGTATTAGATAACTCTACTAATAATACTATAATATAACCTTACTTAAATTTTAATTTCGTTAGTATAGTACCACTTAATCTTAATCTTAGGCCCTCTATTATACTTCCTCTTTATAACCTTTATACTATACGATTTTTATAACGAACGGCAATCTAATCTACCTAAGTAAGATAGCTAAAGGTAAAAAGACTATCAGTACTATTCAATAAAGCCAAAAGGTTTATAATAAATATACGTACGTAATACTAGTTTTAGTAATAATAATCTATTATACGGTTAACTACTATCGAACTATCTAATAATCTAAATTCTCTAATTGTCCCTTTATACCTTCTCGTCCTACTATAAATTATATATCTCTAACCGTCTATATAGTTGTAAATTCCGTAATTTATATAATACTTACTCTAGTATTATAACTCACCGTAAGCCCTAACTTACCTATAAGTACTAATTTACTATAAATATTAATATACTAATAAACTACCTATATTAATAAATTATCTACTACGCCCTTCCGGGCCTTTCCCTAATTTATAATTATACTAACTATTTAGGGGCGGGGCTATTGTATCCTAAGGGTTTAAGTAGCCCTAATATTGCTTAAATTTATAATATAATACTTCTTTTCCTTAATTGACGTTTTTAATAACTTTATTAGCTATTTATATCCCTTTTCTACCCTTTATTTCTATATTATTCCCTTTATTACCTAAATATAATAAATCTTCCCTTTCCTTTATATCTATTACTATATCTAATCGTATTACTAAATATTCAACTATATTGTCCGTCCGACGGTAGTTTTTTTATTTATTATTAAATTTTTTAATTCTATAATTATACTTTACTAATACTATTCCGACTATAAATTTATTTACAAAAAGCTTTTAGAACGGGAAAAGTATAACGAATACGTCCGTAGTACTTATCTTTATAAGGAGGTAAATTATAATATAGAATGTAAATATCCGAATTCCCGACTACTAATCGTCTTTATTAATACTTCTTTAATAGTATAAATAATTATAAAAAATAAAAAACTAAAGTAAGAATAAGCAGTACTTATAAAAATAATATAAAAATATACGCTTCGCCTAACCGCAATTCAATATTAATAAAAGGAATTAACTATAAAAGTTCGTAAAATAATTCAAATTATAAAAATTAAATTAAATACTTAAAATAAGGAAAAAAGGGCCGCCGAAAGGGAACCTAAACCTTTACCTACAATATTATTATTAAATATTTTTACTTCTATTATTTCTATACCTATAAATTAATCGTCCTTAAATACTTCGTCCTTCCCTACTTCCTAATTAAATAGTTTTCTATCCCTAGCCGATCTAAGTTCTTCTAATAGAATTCCTCTAATTTCTTAGGGCAATTTAAATTTTTAACGGGTTTCTAAGTATTATTTTCTAAGCCAAACCCTTCCTACTTAATAAAATATTCTAATTCTCCGTCTATTATTTATAAATCCAAAATTTATTCTATATCCTATTCTTCTTCTTCGTCCTTAATATTAATTCTTATATTAATTCGTATATTTTTAAATACTAATTCTAATAATATAATATAGAAGGAGTATAATTTTAATTTTATAGTATTAGGAATATTCAATTAATATATTATATCCGAGATTTTCTTCTTAATTTTAAATAGCTCTACTTATCGGTTATTAAATTTCTTATTTAGCCTCTTTATCCTAAGATTCCTAATAAATAAAAGGACTTTATCCCCCTCCTTAAAGCGAAGTCCCTCAAACCTTTTTTTATTAAAATACCGGTTTATCTTTTATTTAACGAATTCCAATTCTTCCTTAAACTTTTTATATAGTATATATAGTTTCTCAGCCTTAATTAAAGCCTTAAGGATGTTCGTATTTAATCTTTCTAAAAATTCTAATTTATACCTATAATTTATAAAGAAAGGGAAAACTTTTATAATCTCCGTAGGAGAAGTATTATATACTAATTATACTACTAATAATAATTCTACCTAATTACTTTACTCGAAATTAATATAATTCCTCAAATATTATTCTACAATTTAATTAATTCTTTCTATTTAGCTATTCATTTATAAATAATATACTATTAATATTTTACTTTTAATACCGAACTTAATTATTAATATTTACTAAAACTTAAACGCAAATTTAATATCCCTATCTATAATCTATTCCTTCGGCCAACTATATACCGAAATAATATTCTAATAAATTATATTTATAAATTATTCTACTAACTATATTTCCTTATAAAGTAAAAAATAATTCTATTTAATTAATTTATTTACTACTATTAAAATACTATTGTAAATAACTCCTATTGTAGTATTTGTAAATAATAGTAATTTAGTAATAAAATTTATAATTACCGAATTTTATAGCCTTTTTACAACTTCTAAAAGTTTAAAAAATTTATATAATTTATATTTTATAACCCTAATTTTACTATAATACTTATAAATTTATAATATTCGAACTACTTCGATTTTTATTCCTAGAAAATCGTAATACTACCGTATCCGTACTATAATTTTAATAATACCCATATATCCTCCTATTTTAAACGTATATATTCCTATAATAAATATTTCGTACTATTTAAACTAAATATAAGCCTTATTATAGTACTATAACTTATCGCTCTAAAGGACAACTTCTTCTTCTATACTATCTTCTTATTTCTATTACTCTTTTGAAATTGCAATAATAGTTTAATAACTAAGGTTATATAATTTAATCCTATAAATAGTATAGTACTCTACTTATTCCTATAAGGAGTATACGAATATTCTATTTAATTATTCTTAAAATAATAATATAAAGGCTTCTACTATATCTTTTATATAATCCGCCCAATAGTTTAAAGTATCGGTTTAAACGTTCTCGGAACCCTTCTTATAATTAATTTTAAAATTAAATTCTAATAAAAATTCAGCCTATTATATTTAGCGGCCATTAAATACCTTCGTAGTCTTAAAATACTAAAGATTATTATAATTAATATAAATTTATACTTTATGTATAATTCTACTAAAATATAACTTCTATTCTTAAAATACTTTAATAATAATTAAAAAATCCTTATTATAAATAAAATAATTACAATAGGGTCCTTCTAACTTCTTTAAAAAGAAAACTATAAAATATAATTTTCTTTAATCGCCGTACTACCCTAATTATCCTCTAATAATATAATTTAATATATTAATTTAGACTTTAAAAAACTTATTCAGGTTAAAAAATTTCAATATAGGGTCTATAGTAATTATATTATAAATAGCCCTAAAAATTTCCTTTTCCGTTTTTCCTTATATAAAAATAACCTCCTTCCTGATAAATTCGTATAATAGCCTAATAATCTTCCTATAATTCTATATAAATATCCAATAGAAATTAATAAATTTTAAAAATCTATAGACTTCGGTCGTATTCCTAAGCATAGGCCAATTCCGTATAACTTCTACCTTATTTAATTCTATCCTAACTTTATTCTTTAAAATTAAATACCTAAAAAATATAATCTCTTTTATATAGAATTCGCTTTTCTCTATATTAACAAAAAATTTATACTTATATAGTATATTTAATACTTTCCTTATATATTCCTTATATTCTACAAAAATTTTAAAATAAAAAAAAATATTATTTAGGTAATAAATAGCGAACTTATTAAAATAGGGTCGAATTATATAATTAATAACAGATTAAAATATTGTAGGTATATTAATTAACCCAAAGGGTATAACAAAGTATTTATAATATTTATAAAATATATAAAATACTATTTTCCATTCGTCTCCTTCCTTAATTCGGATATAAATATAAGTAATAAATAAATTAAAGTATATACAATATTATACTCCTCCTAATTAACTTCGGATATATAAAATTAAGAGTAGGGGATAATTATTTCTTATAATCTCCTAATTTAACTATTTATAATTAATATAAAAATATAATTTTCTATTCTTCTTTAGTATAAAGAAGATAGGGTACCCCGCTAGTAATATAAATTCCCGAATATATCCTTATTTCAAATTTTTATCCAAATACTTCCTTAATTCTATATTCTACTTCTTATTAATATAATATACTTTAAAGAATTTAAATTTAACTCCTTCCTTAAATTTAATTTTATAATTCTATAATCCTTATAATAATAATCCTTTAAAATACTTACTAACGAAAGCCGGATATCCTTAATATTCTATTAAAATTACCGTTTTTAACTTCTCTATTTATTAATTTTAATAATAATCGAATTTATATTGAACGTTAATTACTAATACCTTTACTAATATTACTAACCCTTCTTCTATAATTTTACTACTTTTATTAATAATATAAATTATAACTTCTTATACTATTTATAATAGGGCCGAAAGAATAACGCCTTCGTAGCTCACTTCCTCCCGTATTCCAATTTTCCTATTAATAATTAAGTATATCCTAGAATATAGGCGGCCACCTTCCTTCCAATTAATATTCAAATTGTATATAATATACTATAAATACTTTAAAATTATATCCTTAAATAGCCCTATTTTAATAATATTAAAATTAACTTCAATTATTTTACCTTCTACTATAATAAAAAGTAGTAATATTTCCTATCTTACAATCTATATTTCGAAGGGTCTTTTTACTACAAAAGGAACCTTCTTCTTCTTTTAAAGAATCCTTAATTAAATAATGAACTTAAATAAAATAAAATTCAATTAAACTCTAGAATTTATTAATACGAAAATTTAATAATTCTTCTAATAAATTATAATTTTAAATCACTAATCTTCTTTCCCTTCTTTTATAATAGTAATCTCTATAAGTATTATAAAGTCTTAAATTTTATCTTTCCGACGGCTATATCGCCGGATAATCCGTTTTATTTAAGAATTTAATTTCTACCGGGCCTCCTTAAAGGCCCTAAACTATTTCCTAATTCCTAATAATAATTATTAAAAGTATCCTCTTCTTTAAATTCGGGCTCGTTTAACGAACAATATTCTTATAACTATACTAAACAAGCGGCTTCCTTATCCTTAGTACTTCCATTCATATTAACTTATTGGACGTAATATATAATTTCTATTTTATAAACCTAGGCTTTCTATCTTATATAAATAGGGCAATCGAATATCGGGTACTATTATTATTAGGGATTTACTTCTCCCTATTTTAAATAAATATAAGTATTGCGGGGGCGGATAATAAATTTCCTAAATACTAATTAATTATTTATTTATATAAAAAGGTATAAACTAAATACGAATTATTCGTCTATAATAAAGGCAATTTATATATCCGCTCGATTAAAGGTATATATAATTAATTTAAATTACCCTTACCGGTCGAATCTATAAATAGGCCAAAAATAATTATCCTGTTTCTTCCTATAATATTCATAGTAATTATTAGTAATATATTAAAACTACGGTATATAATAGTAAGTAAAATAAAGGGGGTATATTTAAGCCGTATCTCCTTCGACTAATTAATACGCCTCCAATATATTTAAAAATCCTTCCTAAATAGTTTAGGGTTCCCTTTTAATAATAATTATACGCTTCTTCTAAAAAGCGTCCTATAATTCGTCCTTCCTACTCTTATTTAAATAATATTATAATAATTCTATTTAATACCCTTCGGCGGAATTATGAGAATATTTATATTAATATAAATTAACGAATTCGGAAGAATAATATTCCTTAATTATAAAGGCTAATAAAAGTAATAGGAGAAGAGTAATACTTATTATATATATAGTTATAAAGAGAATTCAGTCGGTATTAGGAAAATTACAAATTTCTTCCTATATCGGGGCTCGGTATATCTATATTTAGAGTATATTATCATCCTATACCTCCTCCTTAGAATCTTCCTTATTAAGCCCTTCTTATTTATATTTATTATCGGCCTCCTATTATACTTCCAAATCGAAATTTATAATTCTATTTATAACGTCCTCCAAATCGTTTTAACTGTATTCAGCGCTAATAATCTCAATTACTTTAACTTCTTCTACTATAATAGTTTCTACTTTCTTCTAATTTAATTACTTAAGCGCGCAATAATCCCTCTTTATATACCTAATCTTACTGTAATTAAAATATTTAACCTTCGAAAAGTCCTTCTTACTTCGGTTAATTTAAATTATATCAATTTCTATAAATCTAATATAAATAGTTCCGGAAAAGTAAATTCCCTAAATCCTTTTCTTTTTTATATTAGTATAATTAAATTTAAAAAGAATAAAGGTAATTAATTTCCCTTTCCTCTCCTATTCCTACTAGAATAATCGATCGTCGATACAAATAGCTATATTAATATAAATATTAGTAGTTTCAAGACGGTCTTCCTTATAGAATTCGTCTTTAATTCTTTCCTTAAGGCTATTATAGAATAATTATATTAGCTTATCGTTATTAATATTATTAGAAAAGGCGTCCTACTTAAAAAGTATAATATAAATTAAGGTAAATTTAATTTATTGAAAATAAATTAAATACTCTTAAACCTAACGAGTCTTATCCTTTTCTCTAAAAATTCGAATAAAAGCTTTAGTAAATTCATTGTAATTGCTTAAAATCTTCTTAATAAAGTCCGAAGCGTCTTTTCTATTCTTATAAAAATCTTTAAAAATAAATTTGTATTAAATAAAGGCCCTATCTACAAATTTAGTTCCCGTATAAATTACCTTATTAAACTTAAAGCTAAACTAATCTCTATAAAAATAGAAATAAATTTACATTTAGATCAAGAATCCTATAAAGGCGGACTACTATCTATCGAATTTCTTAAATACAACTAATTTAAATTTAGGATAATTAACGGGCGGGGCGTCCTCTCCTACCTTCGCTTTAAAAGGGCCGGATCTAACCTCGAATTAAGCTTCGAATTAGTAGATATAATCCTATATAGCTTTAAACTATTAATATATAGTAGTAAGGCTCGCAAATTCACCCTAATAGGTAAAATTATTATTATTTCTAATAGTAAATATAATAAAATAAAGTAATACTTTTAATTACTATTTAAAATAAATTAAAGGGAATAATCAATATATAACGAATAGTAATCTAATTTATTTAAATAAAATAGCTAAAAGTAAAAAGACTATTAATACTATTTAATAAAGCTAAAAAATTTACAATAAATATATATACGTAATATTAATTTTAATAATAATAATCTATTATATAGTTAACTACTATTGAACTATCTAATAATGTAAGTTCTCTAATCGTCCCTTTATACTTTCTCGTCCTACTACGGATTATATATCTCTAGCCGTCTATATAATCGTAAATTCCGTAATTTACATAATATTCATTCTAATATTATAATTTACTATAAACCCTAGCTTACTCGTAAATACTAGTTTACCGTAAGTACTAGCTTACTAGTGAGCTACCTGCATTAGTAAGCCACCTACTGCACCCTTCCGGGCCTTTTCCTAACTTATAGTTATATTAGCTATTTAGGGGCGGGGCTATCGCGTCCCGAGGGTCTAGGTGGCCCTAGTATCGCTTAAGTTCGTAATAATTTTAGTTTGGAACTAGGGCGTTATTTAGTACATTATTAATTTAAGGGCGGTGGTGGGGGAGGAGGAAGAGGAGGAGGATGAGGAGGTAGTGCCCGGGCTGGCTATACTAGGATTACTAGGATTACTAGGATTACTAGTACTGGTACTAGTACTACCTTACGCTCCTAAAGCCTAATCTCTATATTGAGATAGAATATCCTAATATATAGATCTATCTCTATATGGTATATGTTAAATACTAGAAAGTATTATGATATTAACAACGATAAGCTCTATAGGGGGGTAGAAGATTATAGGGCTCAAAAAGGGAGCTGGAGGGTAGGGATATTGAGAATTACGGTCTTATATAGAAATTTTAGTGGGTATAAATGTTGTAGTATACTTCCTGCTTATACTTAATTTTCTAGTCTCTATTACATTAACCCCCGTCGACAACGCTTCAGCGGACCCGCCCCACAAATATGTGGGTCTCCCCTCCTCGAACTTTTATAAGAGGAGGTCTATTACTATTTTGCGCGAAAACGCCGTCGGCTGCAGAAACTCCTATATAAACTCTAGATTTTATTTTTATATATTCCTTTATAATAAAATAAGAAAAAATAGTAAAATTAAGACTAAACCATTTGAAGGATGGTATTTTCAAGCTCTTTCTAAATATATAATTTTTATAACGCTCGGACCACCCGTTAAAGTAATGCAACCCCAAAGACAAACCTTCGTCGGCTGCAATTGCTTTTAAGGTTTTGGACACTTCTTATTTTTAACTTTATTAATAACCGTATAACTATAAAGAATATATATTGAGGATGGCCTCGATAAGGCGGCTCTTATAGTACTATTTTTATAGCGCTCGGACTACTTGTTGAAGTAATGCAACCTTAAGGGAATAGTATTTCATTTTTCTACTTTTAGATTTCTTTTATTTTTAACCTCAATATTAATGTGTTGAATGAGATATTTATATGGGGAGGATGGCTTTGATAAGGCGGTTCTAACGGTACTACTTTTATAAAGTTCGGACTACCCGTTAAGGTAATGTAGCTTTAAGGGGGTAAAAGCTTCAAAGTTTAAAGCCTTGTATCTTAACGAATATTGGTCGTATAGGAAAACTAAGACTACCATTAGAACTACAATAAAAAAATCTATATAAAGGGTATTTCTTTTTAGTTTTATCAATTTCACTGGATTTTTAATGAATAATAATGCCTAGTTATTCTTTTACAACCAACGGCTAAAAAGTACAAAACACGCTCAGACCTACTACCGTAAAAACAAGGGGTGGGGTCGGGGGGTGGGATGGGTTTTGGAGGT